CTATTTGAGCGGGAAGCTTTGGGTTTATCCTTCACTTCGGTCATAAAGGAATTACTGTAGCAGTCCAAGGCTTGGCACCTCGGACCTGTCCTTACACTATTCCCCCCCCCCCCGAAGTCATTCACTTGTGAATGATGTTGTTGGGGAATAATGAGGGAAGTACATAAACAAAGAGAATTACAGATAAATCATAGAAGTAAAGGAAGAAATAAAATTTGTAACTCAAATGCATACATAGCCATGTGCGATAAGAAGAGAGTGTGATCAGAGCGATCATGGCTGTAGGCATGGTAAAAATAATGACCGGAGTCAATGTGGCCGTAGCCATAGTAAGAGATGATGACCGAAGTCATGGTGGCCGGAGCTGTGATAAAGAATGATGACCGGAGTCATAATGGCTAGAGCCGTGATAAAGAATGATGACCGGAGTCATAATGGCCGGAGCCGTGGTAGAATAGGTGACATGTAGTCACAGTAATCATAGCCGAAGTAAAGCACATGTCTCTATGGCCGGAGCCGGAGTGAAACATGTTGCACTAAGTCACTGTGGCCATAACCGAAGCGAAACACTCTGCAAGTTAAAAAGTGTAATATAAAAATAAACAGAAGTGTTGAGTTAGGCTTAGGTTCAAAGATGGGGGTCATAATGGCCGGAGCCATAATAATAAAATATAATGACCGAGGTCGTAATGGCCGGAGCCATAATAAAATATAATGACCGAGGTCGTAATGGACGGAGCCATAATAAAATATAATGACCGAGGTCGATGTGAAACATGTAATGCAGGATCGCTGTGGCCGGAGCCGAAGTGAAACACTTGCAAAAATTGAAAATGTGCAAAAGTGAACGAAGGTGTTGAAATGGGCGTAAATGGGCCCGTCTGAAAAATCTGACAGTTGTCCATGGGATGACGTGTGCAATAAATGCAGCCATAAAAAGATAACTGCAATAGGTAAACGGGCAAATTTTAAAAAACGAACCGTCGAATGCAAAACGGTGTCGTTTGGGGTTGGCTGTTGAATTCCAAATGGTGTTAATAGGAACCGTAAGATTAAACGAATCTCAGCCGTTGAGATCTAATTTTGCCCAGAAGTATAAATAGACATTTTTCCTGCAGAAAGAGGTTTACTTGCATTTCTTTTCCTACAAAATTTCTGCGAAAAGCTTTACTGTGTGTTTCGTGCGCATGAACTGCGGCATCAACTGGGGATCTCTACATCAAGTCTTTCGAAACCGAAATCAGGTAATGTATATGGACCTATTATTTTGAGTTAATCGAAGTGTCTTTCCTCTTTCTCCCTTTCTGTGATTGATTTAGAGTCCGTTGAAGGAAGTTAGGGTTAGAGGTGAGGAGGATTTTTAATGTGCAACAAAAGGGGATTTTTTTTTTTTTTAAGGAGATCCTGACTTATTCCTCCCCCCTACTTCTTGCAGAGTTTGAGAAAATGTCCTCAGAAGGAACAAGGAGTATAGTAGGGAGTGAGGTGATGCCTTTGGACTATGGGAGCATGGACTCAGAGAGTAGTCCATCTCCCTCTAGTTCGGAGAAGACGGTGGAAGGGGTGAGAGGAGATGAGGTGATAAAGGTAGGGGAGGAAGAGGTAGTAGAGGTTGGGGGTAATGAGGTGGTAGGGGTTGGAAGAGATAGCATACCCATAACTGTAGTAGAAGTAGAGGGTAGAGGCGATAGGGATTATGATGTGAACGCCGAGATAGTGGAAAAGGTGCAGCAGTATTGGTCTAAACTAAGGATAAGGGATAGCCTGGGTCACTTAGTGGAAAATTACGAGATCTCTTCTCGAGTGCTAGTTAGGCCAGCTGGGGTAGAGGAGAGAGCGTGTTCTGCTCCTTGGGACCATTGGATGCCCATATATTCCCACTATCTGATAGCGGGATTGAGGTTTCCAATTCCTGAGTTGCTGGTAGGATTGTTATTAGATTGTAAGATAGGGTTGACACAATTAGTTCCCAATGCTGTGAGGGTAATAATAGGATTTTTAGTCTATTGCCGAGCTAAGAGGATTAGTGTGCCAACTGTAAATATGTTTAAGTATTTTTTTGTTTTAAAAGGGGGTAGTATGAGGGATAAGGGGTGGTATTATTTCACTCCTAGGGTAGCCAATAGGGAGAGTAGGTCTTTGTTCACTGCGGGTCCTTCATCCATTAAAGGATGGAAGGAAAAATTCTTTTTTGTAGATGATACGGAGTGGGAGAGGGGAGATGCCGAGGTGAGGGAGTTAGCATCTTGGAAGGCCAAAAAAGCCAACCAGAGTAAGTTTAGTTTAAACGAGGATGAGGAGGAAGAAGTGAGGAAGTTGGTGAGGAAGGGGGGGGAGTTACTAAACATAATGGACCTCACCAGCGCACAATGCATAGAAGCTGCTGAGCTCTATGGGCCAAGCGCTTTGAGTGAAGGTTGGTTTAACTCTGCATTGTAGTACTGAATGTAGAGTATAGAACTGTGATTAATATTGTGTTTTCTTTCTTTGCAGCTGAAATGGATCAATTTTTAAACACTACTGAAAGAGCGGCCATCCCCAAGAAGCCAAGGAAGAAGTCAAAGACTTCAACCAAGCAAGTGGATGAGGGGAGGGCTAGGAAGGAGGTAGTGGCCACGGCTTCAGCTGAAACGGCGGAGGAGGTGCCACAGTTGAAGAGGAAGGGTTGGGAGGAGAGGAGGGCACTGCAGAAGAAGCAGAAGGTGGTGGAGGAGGAGACGGGGAATGAGGTCCCTCTGTTCGTACCTCAGCCTTCTCCTGTTGAGCTGGACCCTGAGCTTAGACAGTTGGAGGAGGGGGTTGAGGTATGAGCTCCTGGTAAGGGAAAAGGCCCTGTTCCCCAACTGGGGCCTCAGAGCAGCCTGTTCAAGGCGAAGAACATGACGGGGGCTAGGTGGTTCATCAACAACACCTTCCCCAAAGTGGACAGACGCAACACGCGGGAGGAAGCTCTGAGGTATGGTGGAGCGTCCGTTGTGAAGCACGTTCTAGAGGTATGTTAAAATATTGATGTTGTTTATTTAATCTGTTTTGTCTTCTCTTCTTTCTCTCTTAACCTCTGTTTTGATTTGTAGAGCGCGAGTTGGGTGAATGGTCTAGCCCAAGAATTCAGGGAGAGCCTGAAGAAGCGCTCACTCTTGCAGAGGCAGTGTGACCAGCTGCAAAAGGAGAAGAAGGAGCTGGAAAAGAAAAATAAAGAACTGCAAGAGTCACTGAATGAGGTAGTTCCAACTGTGAAGCTGTTGAAGCAGGAGAGGTCTTCCCTGAGCACCAAGCTCGTCTTTGAAGAGAGCAAACGAAGGATCTCTAAAAGTGAGCGTGAGGCTCTGGCGCAAGAACTAAAGCTGACGAAGGAGGCTTTCTTGGAGCTGAAGCAGAATGTGCAGACCTTGGTGCATAATGGAATTAAGGAGCACATCAGCAACTTCATCAGCTCCAGCTCGTTTGACAACATCGTCAACTTATATCGGCTGCCCACTGCCATCCTTGCATTCACGAACTACAGGAAGAAGGTGAAGGTAGAATATCCCGAAGTGGATATTACGAAGATCACCTTCGGAGAGCAAGAAGAAGGGGTGGAGGAAGATGGTAAGAGCATGTCAGCAGACTTCCATCCTCAGATTAAACTGAGGTGGGAGGATGATGCAAACGGACGTGCTGTTTTCCCTCCACAGTTCGACTTCGAGTTCGTTGCAGTGGAGGAAGAAGGGGCGGAGGTAGAGGAAGACGAGATGGAGGCAGGAGTGGAGGGAGCTGAAGTGGATGAGAGCCAACCAGTTCCAGAAGTGGAGATTCATCCAGTTCCCTCCAACGATGAGCAGCCTCCTGTACTAGACGAGCAGCAGCCAACACAGCCACCTCCTCTAGCTGAGCAGGAGCCAGTGGAGCCACCTCTCCTAGCGGAGAAATAATTTTATTTTTTAATTTTTTGTAAAAACATTTAGACAGTTTGTAACACTGTTATTTTGTTAAATGGAATTATATGTTTGTTTATGTTTCGTTTATATTTTTGTTATTTTTATTAATAGAAGAATTGAGAGTACTTGAGACGTGATTTGAAAGAAGGCTAACCACTTCAGAAATAAACAAAAGGGAAGTAAGTCACTTCAGACGAATTACAAAGAAGTAAATCACTTCAGATAAATTGAGAACAGGGACATTGTTTGCAAATGAATTAAAAGGAAATAAAGCACTTCATATGTGAAGTGACATTTACTAATCAAAAATGAGGTTCCAAGACTAACTGACCTCGGATACATAGAATAAGAAGTAAAATGAATCTCAACAAACACGAAGTGAGAAGTGTAAAGAACAATAAGACATAGATCACTTGAAAGAATTTTATTAGGGGTAAAATTTCTTCAAGTTGTTGATCTTCCAGACTCTAGGAACTCTTTTTCCTTCAGAGTCTTGGAGGACATAGGCACCAGGATGTGGCACCTCGGCCACAGTATACAGGCTTTCCCAATTTGGGGTGAGTTTGCCAAAACGAGTTTCAAATCCTGCTAGGCCAGCTTTTCTGAGAACAAGGTCTCCTACTTTGAATGTTCGAGGGTGGACCCGCTTATTGTAGAAGTTGGCTAGCTTCTGCTTATATACAAGAGTTCGAAGCCGAGCTTCTTCTCTGACTTCGGCAAGCAGATCAAGGTTTTCCCAAAGCAGTTGTCCATTTCGTCCTTCATCGAAATGGGTGACCCGGAAGCTTAGGACTCCTATTTCAACAGGAATGACTGCTTCAGTGCCAAAGGCCAAGTGGTAGGGTGTTTCACCTATTTCAGTTAGTTATAAGTTTAGAATGCGCTTTATGCATTATGTATATTTGCTCTAAGGTAAAGCGTAACAGAAGAAGTAAAATGATATAGAAATTAATCAAATAGACTCGGTTTAAAGTGGTACCTGTGGCAGTTCTGCTCGTGGTTCTGTATGCCCAAAGGACGTTGTTGAGCTCGTCTGCCCACTTGGCCTTATGCTATTCCAATCTCGGCCTTATTCCTTCCAAAATGCATTTGTTAACAGATTCAACCATACCATTGGACTCTAGATGATAAACGGAGGTGAATTGTAACTTGATCTAATAACTGGAACAGAAATCTTGGAATGAGGAGCAATTGAATTGAGTTTCATTATCGGCTACAATCTGATTCGGGATCCCATATCTACAGATGATCAAGCTGAAAACAAAATCTTCAACCTTCTTAGAAGTAAGACTAGATAAAGGCTGAGCTTCAACCCACTTTGTAAAATAATCCACACCAAAAACCAGATGGGTTACACCACCAACCCCTTTCACGAACGAGCCTAAAAGATCGAGTCTCCACTAAGCAAATGGCCATGGTGCTACCAAGTTCGTGAGCTCTTCTGCTGGTTGGTGAGTCAGATGTGCAAAGAATTGACATTTCGAGCATTTCTGAACAAAGTAAGTGGCATCTTTGTATATGTTGGGCCAGTAATACCCTTGCCTTAAGACCTTGTGAGCCAGAGTCCTGGCACCGACATGGCTCCCACAAACACCTTCGTGTACCTCTCGAAGTGCATATTCGGCTTCATAGGGGTTTAAACACCGCAGAAGAGGAAGTGAGAAAGATCTCTTATATAGGACCCCATCAACGAGTGTATATCGAGATGCTTTCTTTCTCAACTTCATTGCCTCCTGCCTATCCTCAGGTGCTATCCCATCTCGCAAAAAGGAGATGATTGAATTAGTCCAGCTCGGCGCGTCAGGGTTTGTGCTAATCTCCATCACCCGAGGCTTCATGAAGCTTGGTTCATCTAGGACCTCGACAAAAACAGATCTGGAACTTAAAGAGCTATCAGAGGCAAACTTGGAGAGTGAATCTGCCTGTTCATTCTCAGTTTGGGGGATTTTGCTCAGACAGAATTTTTGGAATTTGCATTTCAGCTCGGCCACCAAGGCTATATATTTCACCATCACACGATCAACGACTTCGCAGATTGAGTTGATTTGGTTTACTACCAATTGCGAGTCACTGTATACCTGAATTACACTGATTTTTAACTCTAATGCTAGTTGTAGGCCAAGTAGCAGAGCTTCATATTCAGCCGTGTTATTTGTTGCATCAAAGTTGAATTTCAAAGCATGTTCGCTTCGATAACCCTCTGGGCCAATCAAGAAAGCGCCCACTCCTGAACCTTTGCTGCTAGATGCCCCGTCAACATACAAGGTCCAGTCGTTGGGCTCTAGATTAGAGGTTGAAGGACATGGAGTGCATTCGACAATGAAATCTGCTAGTGCTTGAGCTCGAATTGCCGTTCTCTGCTGAAATGTTATCTCAAACTCCCCCAATTCCATCGCCCACTTAATCAATCTTCTAGAGCACTCTGGTTTCTGCAGAATCTGCCGGAGAGGTTGATCTGTGAGAACAATAATTGGGTGTGACTGGAAATATGGCCTCAACTTCCTAGCCGAAGTGACAACTGCTAATGCTGCTTTCTCAGCTATAGGATACCTCAGCTCTGCCCCGTGCAGTATACTGCTAATATAATAGATTAGTTTTTGCTGCTTGGCTTCTTCTCGCACCAAAACTGAACTAATGGCTTCATCTGAAATTCCCAGGTACAAATAAAGAATTTCCCCATCGATGGCCTTAGTCAGTAGAGGTGGCGAGCTAAGATAAGACTTCAGCTCGTCGAACGCAGTTTGGCACTCCTGACTCCATTCAAATTTCTTCTGTTTTCCTGATTCATCATTCTGGGCAGCCGACCTCATAATCTTGAAGAATGGCAGGCACTTATCTGCTAACTTCGATATGAATCGATGAAGAGCTGCCACTCTTCCAGTCAATCTCTGTATATCTTTTACTGATTTCGGCGGTTCCATATCGGCAATTGCTCTGATCTTCTCTGGATTGACCTAAATCCCTCTTCGGGACACCATGAAACCTATAAACTTTCCAGACTCCACGCAGAAAATACATTTGGCTGGGTTCAACCGCATCCTGTTCTTTCTGAGGTTGTTGAAGGTTTTGTCGAGATCAGCTAGATGGTCTTCTACTTTCCGACTCTTTACTACGATGTCATCGACATACACCTCCAGATTCTTGTCGATCTGAGCTCGGAAGACGATGGTCACCATTTTCTGATAAGTAGCACCAGCGTTCTTTAAGCCAAACGGCATCATGGCATAGCAATAAATTTCATCGCCAGCATAGAACGAGGTTTTCTCTTCGTCTTCGAAAGCCATCGGCACCTGGTGATACCCAGAATATGCATCCAAGAGGCTTAACCTCTCATTGCCTGAAGTCGCTTCAACTAACTTGTCAATGCTCGGCATCGGATAGCAATCCTTGGGGCAGGCTTGGTTAAGATTTGTGTAATCAATGCACATTCGCCATTTACCGTTTGCCTTCTTCACCAGGACTGGGTTAGACACCCATTCGCAGTAATCAACTTTCTTGACGAAACCAGCTTGTAGAAGTTTCTCTACCTCTTCTTTAATAACCTGAAGCCTCTCCCCCCCGAAGAGACGCCGCTTTTTGGCCACTGGTTTCTTCAATGGATTGGTGCTAAGCTTGTGTTGGGAAACTGATTTCGGAATTCCTGGCATATTGGCCGAAGTCCATGCGAATACATCATTATTAGCTTGGAGAAAAGCTATTAACTGTGCTCGTTCCTTTGGGTTCAATCTAGTTCCAATCTGCGTCTTTCGGCTCGGATCTCTGTCATCAATGAGCACCTCTTCAACATCTTCGACTGGAGCAGCTCTGGTTTCATCTTCCGGTCGATTATCGACGATCTCAACGCCCATAACTTGCTGATTATCAGGAATTGGTTGGGGAAGGGCCTCGGGTGTCTGATCTTTGCCCTTCATAGGTTGTGTTACGGAGGTGATATAACAATGCCTGGCCACCTCCTGGTTTCCTCGCAATGTTGCTATTCTCGTGGGAGTTGGGAACTTCATACAGAGGTGAGACTGGGAAACCATAGCTCAGATTTCAGTCAGTGTGGGTCGGCCAATAACAATGTTGAAAGAGGACGCCATTTTTACTACGAGAAACTGGACTGAAGGAGTCACATAGGTCCTGCCACTCCCAAAAGCCATATGGAGGGTAAGAACTCCTTCTACCAGAACAGGCTGGTTGTTGAAGCCATAGATAGGACCATCATATTTTTTCAACAATGCTGGATCCAGTCCCAGACTCTCGAAACAGTGGAAGTACATGATGTCTGGTGCACTGCTGGTGTCAATAAGGACACGCTGTACTTCACAATTATTAATGATGACAGAAGTGACCAAGGGATCATTGTGGGGGTGTAACAACTGTATCGAGATCGACAGATGTGAAAGTAATGGGCTGATTTTTCCACTCAGCATTGTCAATCTTCCGCTTCTGAGCCCGGTTTTGATGTTTAATCTCTCTGACATACAGCTTTCGCTGCTTAGAGCTCAGTCCACCTGCTTCAAGGCCTCCCGTAATCATGTGTATGATTCTGGCTGGGGTGGGAGCGGAGGTGGGGCTTGCTGACATCCCACACCTTGCCTATTTGGGGGATTGCGAACTCCTTGGGGCTGCGGCCTCTGTTCTCTGATAAACCTCAGCTATTCATGTTTCTAAACATACTCATTTAGCATTCCCTTCTGAGCTAAACTTTCTAGTTCAGACTTTAAGCTGTTGCACTGCTCTGTAGTATGGCTGTGATCTTGATGGAAATCAAAATATCTGGTGTGGTCTCGACTAGCAACAACAGTTTTCATTGGGCTAGGACGCCTTAAATCCATCTTATTCTTGATCTGCATAAAAATTTGGGACCTCAGCAGATTAAAGGGAGTCCAATTAACTGGAGGTTTACCTGCAGATTGTTGCGGGGGTGTTGAGTTCGTCCTTCCGAATTGGGGAGGTCAACATCGGACCTCGGTTCTGCGCCATCGTCATCCTTTTCCTACTTGGATGTCATCTCTCCAATCTGGGTGTTGGTTCTTAGTGGGAGGTTGGTTTTGTGCCAGGGCATACTCCTCAGCAGTTATAAATTTCAGAGACCTGTCGTTCACCTCGCTAAAGGTGGTGGCAGCATGTTTGATCAAACTGTCTCTGAACCTGTCATGCTTGAGACCGGAGATCACAGCATCAATTCCCACAGCTTGATCAAAGGAACTAACCTCTAAGACTGCATCATTGAACCTGCTCATATAGTTCTTCAGAGATTCTCCATCCCTCTGTTTAACTCGCATCAGCTCAGAAGTAGTTTTCCTAATCAACCTTCTATTGGAAAACTTAGTGGCAAAGGCAGATGCCATTTTTGTATAAGAGCTAATTGACCTCGGAGGTAAACTGTAATACAAAGTTCGGGCATTACCTCGGAGAGTAAAGGGGAAGATTTTGCACATTAACGCGTCAGAGGCGTTCTGAGCTTGCATGCAAGAGTAGAAAGCATGCAAATGATCATCAGGATCCTTTGTCTCGTCATAAGTCTTCAGTTGTGGTATTTTGAAGCTAGCAGGATAGGGTTCCAGTGTAATGTTGGTATTCAGAGGGTGAGGTATGGAGTCAGCAGCATGGTGTGGGGGTGGAGCACCTCAATGTTCAGCTACTAGCTTTTCCAAGCTATCGAGGCATCGAGTGACATCATCAGGGATGGGTTGTTGAGCGGGTGCGATGTGGGATTGACCCTGAGATTCACTAATAGCGGGA